GATATGCATATGCATACACATGTGTGTATATATGTGTGTGTGTGTGTGTGTGTGTGTGTGTGTGTGTGTGTGTGTGTGTGTGTGTGTGTGTGTGTGTGTGTGTGTGTGTGTGTGTGTGTGTGTGTGTGTAACTGCGTAGTGGAAAAAAAACATATATATACATATATGTATATGTATATATGTTTATATACATGTACATACACATACACACACACATATATTATGTATATATATTGTATATATACATGTATATATACGATATATATACATTATATATATATATATATATATATATATATATATATATATATATATATATATATATATATAATGTATACATATATACATCATATATACATTTATATATTAATATATGTTATTATATATATATATATATATATATATATATATATATATATATGTGTGTGTGTGTGTGTGTGTGTGTGTGTGTGTGTGTGTGTGTGTGTGTGTGTGTGTGTGTGTGTGTGTGTAACTGCGTAGTGGAAAAAAAACATTGGTTCAATGAGAAACGCCAGTTCACCAGGCGAGGATGGTCTACCAGCCATCACACGGAAAAGCGGTGGCTCGGAACTGAAAAACCAAACGAGGCTAATATAGCTCATCTGGACAGAAGAGACTCCCCACAGCCTGGAAAATGTGCCAATTTCCCCTTTTCAAGAAGGGTGACAAGTCGGGGTGCAAAAACTACCAGGGTTTTATTTAATTGATGTGGCACATGAAGCGATAGAAGCAGTCATCCGGGGATGTTTTGGTCCTGCAGTTGATTTATTCTAAGATGGGAATACAGGAGCGGAATTTGGTCGGATCCATCAGACCCGTGTCACGAACCTCGGCTATGCAGACGACGCCAAGGTGTATATAAGTATTTTACATAGACCTTGGACGACGCTGCCCTCTTGGCGGAGTCTGTCGGAGGCATGTAGCTGATGGACGAAGACCATGAGATCTCCAGACCTTTCCACAGAGCCAATCATGCTGAATAACTCACCTCTGGAGGAGGCATGGGCAGCAAAGTGTCAATCAATGGCGCTCCTGAGGAGGAAGTGAACGTACGCATAGGAAAGGCACAGACTGCTTGTATGTCCCTTCAAGACTGCCTGTGGAAAATACCTAGTGTGACATTAGCCGCTAAACTGAATGTATTCCTAGCCTCCGTGAGACCAGTAATGACGTGTTTGTGAGACATGACCTGTACGAAAATCTGATGTGGCACGCATTCAAGCATTTAAAGTCCACTGCTGGAGGCAGATACTCAAACTCAATTATCTTGATCGGGTATCGAACTAAGATATTCTGCATATGTTGGGTAATCCAACAACATGCAGCGAGGACCTACTTCACAGACGCCTCACGTATGAATGATTTGATATTTTTCTTACGTCCACTGGAGTTTTTTTTTTCCTGTAGTTTTGTCCCATTCTTATAGGGGATCGCTATGACCAGGTTCTGCCAGATGTTATTTTATAGCCGGATGCCCTTCCATT